TTGATTTCATATTCAAAATAACAATTACGTAGTTCTTTAAAAGTGTATCTTCCTTGTGTTTTGATTTTAACAACAAAATAAAGATATATAAAGAATTTAAAATTATTCTGTACGTGTCATGGCGCCTTTGTGTTGTCTTCGACTTCCCCTTTACAACCAGGCGACGCCACTTTTCAAAACCACACATATATTTGTCCAACTTTTTCCCAATACCCAAGAATTTGTTTCAGTACCTCAGGTATTAATCAAACTCAGTCCTTTTCAATCATTACATTATCAAGATCAGTCTATCATAGCGATTACTTGACATGATCTATATCATGTCACAAGTATACAATATTTAGGTCAGCCTTACAGCCTTCCTCTCCCCCCTCCCCACATCAACCACCAGGACGACACAGGTCGGCAGATAAGAGGTGATAAGTGATAGTGGAGGTGGTAGTGTCCGCTGCTGACGGAGCTGCTGTGTACACAAGTCTCAGCTGTTGGGTGGTAACACCTCGCACACACCCATACATTATATAATATTCCACTAAAACTTATTTCTCCTATACATTTCGACGTTCCATGCGTTTTCTGACGTCTGATTTACATTACGATGATCGACAGCACTACCTTAGTAGCGCATGTTTCAAGTTAGTTCAGAAGATACGTTCATCTCCATACCATAAAACAAGTTTTAGCTTCATTGTTAAGATACACAAGACTGACTAGACACTGATCAGTGAGTCTAGCAGAGGTAAGTCAGTGGTAACTACTGACGTGATCCATCATAGTGACACTGATCAGTAAGTCTACGGAAGGTAACCTACAGTTACTGTTGTCGTGGTTCACCATGGTGACAGACACAGCCCTCTGAGTCCACCGAGGGATCCAGCTGCCATTATCCACCATAGTGACCTTAGCGACCGCACCTCTGCAGGTGACCTTGGACACACCATCGTCTTGGAGCGCGTCACACACAGAGTTTTGGAGCGCTACTGGAGTCAGTCTTGAAATGGGTTCTACAACTTTGATCACGAGACACCTGCACCTGCTAATAGTTTCAAGAATCTTGTCCTAGAAGGATTAATGTCAAATTTGCACACGAAAATCACTCCCTACGAAAGCAAGAGGTCCGGCAGGCGGTGCAAAGCACGGAAGCCACGAGTACGCTAAGAGAAAACACAGTAAGTGTCAGGGGCCCAAGACTGTTCAACTGCCTCCCAGAATACATAACGGGGATTACCAATAGACCCCTGGCTGTCTTCAAAAAGGCACTGGACAGGCACCTAAAGTCAGTACCTGACCAGCCGAGCTGTGCTTCGTACGTAAGCCTGCGTGGGGCCAACAGTAACAGCCTGGTTGATCAGGCCCTGGTCCACCAAGAAGACTGGTTACAGACCGGGCCGCGGGGGCGTTGACCCTCGAAACCTTCTCCAAGTAGTTACTGTACACCAGTGTGGAAAACTTGAAGTCAGTCGGATGGTCTTTTCTTGTTATGAGAGAAATAATAGCGAAACTGGCAACCATAATTACAGCAGACGATCCCGCTGATCATGACAAGGTCGCATAAGGTCCCTAAGGTCTCATAGAATCATTAAGGTCACTAGAAGACCACTTAAGGCAGACGGAAGATACAACAGGGAAAACTTTATTGAACGAATGGTAACGTATTCACTTGTATGTTTTGGTCAAGCTACCCAGACTACCGAGACCTGGTCATGGACCGGGCCGCGGGGGCGCTGACCCCGGAACACCCTCCAGGTATAAGAACATAAGAACATAAGAAAGAAGGAACACTACAACAGGCCTACTGACCCATGCGGAGCAGGTCCATGTCCCCCCCCCGGATAAGACCAATGACCCACCCCCCCGGATTAGCCCAGTGACCCACCGAGTCTGGTCACTTCCACTCAAGGAAGGAGCACGGCACCAGACCCAGCAGCACAAGCTAGTCAGGTCCAACTCACACCCACCCACACCCACTCATGTATTTATCTAACCTATTTTTAAAACTACACAACGTTTTAGCCTGAATAACTGTACTCGGGAGTTTGTTCCACTCATCCACAACTCTATTACCAAACCAGTGCTTTCCTATATCCTTCCTGAATCTCCTATATCCTTCCTGAATCTGAATTTTTCTAACTTGAAACCATTGCTGCGAGTCCTGTCTTGGCAGGAAATTTTCAGCACGCTATTTACATCCCCTTCATTTATTCCTGTTTTCCATTTATACACCTCGATCATATCCCCCCTAATTCTACGCCTTTCGAGAGAGTGCAGATTCAGGGCCCTCAGTCTATCCTCATAGGGAAGATTTCTGATACATGGGATCATCTTTGTCATCCTCCTCTGTACGTTTTCCAGAGCATTTATATTCATTCTGTAATACGGTGACCAGAACTGAGCAGCATAGTCTAAATGAGGCCTAACGAAGGATATATAGAGTTGAAGATCAACCTGAGGACTTCTATTATTTATACTTCTAGATATGAAGCCAAGAATTCTGTTAGCT